AGAGCGGGTGTGGATTCCCACCACAGCAGCTTCAGCAAGAAGAACGAACACAGCTTCAGGCCATTTCCCTGATCTGTATTTAACTTTCGCCTTCTGACCTCCTCATCCACTCTGCTGCAAGGTGCCATTGCAGCACAAGGGAGAAGAATGTGTCCTCTTGTGGCACCTGATGAGTTCTGCCTGGTGTAAACAGGATAAGAGGGAGTATCTCTGCTCCCAGCCTCCATCTCCAGGCCAGGGGAGCTCTCTGGCTGCAGCTGGCCACGAATCTCTGTCTTGGGCAATTATTACTGGCAAGAGTCTTTTACCTAAAACTTTGGTTCTGCTATGAATGCTCTACTCTACTCCCTTCTTCATTTGCCACCCATTAGGATGGGGCTTAGAGTTAGCAGGAGCCAAGAGCTAGGCAGATTTTCCCCATTTTTGCACCCCACATGACATTTCCAGTCTCTGCAGAGCCACCGCCTCCACCTCCCCCTCTTTTTCCTGCAGGCCAAGGTGCTGTTCACACTCCCTCCTCCTCCTCTGCTGCCACTCCATCTGTACTCAACCCAGAGAACGCAGAGTCCTCCATCCTTCAGCTCCTCTCATACTGCCAGGAGCTCTGGAAAATGCAGAGTCACCTCTGGAGTGAACTATTTGGGAGGGCAACTTCACCATCAGCACTGAACTGCTTCACCATGGGAAAAAGCAGTGTAGAGTTCTCCACAGCTTATCCTCTCCCCACTGCTGTTGGAGTTGGTTTAGCCATACAGGGAGAAAGGCAACAATTGCAAGCGCAACGCATGCGAGAATGACGTGTGATGGGCTTACGCTTTCTGGTCTGGTCTCCCGGGAGAAAGAAAATTGAGCGACTGGCTGTCAGGCACGCAGTTCTACCTTAGGGGAGAGTTCCCAAGGGGGGTGTGATTTCTACTCTTAGAGCACAGCTTCTCTTCCACAGTGGAAACAGGACAAAAAGAAGTCTGGCGAGGACTCCTCTGTCACCAGCTCTAAATCACTTTGTCACTCCATGGACCCCCATGGACAGCACCATCACTCATCAAGAGACACTTGGAGAAGAACCCCCTGCAGCACCACAAAAGGAAGAAAAATGCTTGGAAATGCCATGTGTCTTTCTTATGATCTTCAACCAGGTGACATGCACGCCTGCATGCTGCTTGCCTGTTACTGTCACACTGAGCTCAGGGAGAGCCAGCAGCTCTAAAGAAAAAAAAAAGAGAAACAAAAAAAACGCCATCCCAACACCAAACCAAAAAATCCCAACCCCCACACCAAAAAGCGCACTCCTCCAGCATGGCTTTACAAGACATCCAATGCTTTTGTTAGTTTAACTGGCAAAGAGGGAGGAGTGTGAACCTTCCCAGGAGCTCCAGTTAAGCACCCATTAGTTAATCTACTTCATGTGTTTCAGTAGTGACCTCAGGGCCACAGGTGTCATCACAATGTGAAGCTCCAGCCTCAGTGTCTGGCAAGAAAGCTCTCGGGGAAAAAGGGATGAAAGCAAGAAGTTACTAGAGGAGATGAGCACAGTGGCCATTTTCCCTAGCTGTCATTGCTCTGCAGTGAGCTTTACCCACACCCCTTTCCAAGTGTTACCTGGTGAGATGTGATATTCAGGGCAGGATTGGTCAGCTCTGTTTTATCCTGGGACTTCTCCCTCGCCAAACGGGCTGCTTCTTTCACTTCCTGGAACTTCTCTGCAAACTAGAGGGGAGTGGAAAAGTCACTCCAGTGCTACACTGAAATGAGGAACCAACTAGAACTGATGCCTGGGTTACTCCTCCCTTCACAACTTAATTCAGCATGCTTTTAAATTTATCTTCAACAATAAAATTCAGGGAATAGCCCCTTCTTGCCCCTGCCCGTAATTCTGGCACTCAGGGCTGTGGGGTTAGCTAAGTAGCAATGACAGAAATTGACCCCAAAGTCCTAATTCAATTTGTGATGCTCAAAACACTCTGCAAATATTACTTTAAAGCTCTTCCTACCATCTCTGCATCTTGCATTAGATTTTAGCACAGAGGGAACAGCACTACATCAGGTCCCTAAAGTCTTTTCTCCAGAGGCTGATCTCCCCTTCAGGGTTTCAGGGACATTCCCCTGTCAGCAGTGGGTTTCTGCCAGCACCTGCAGCATTACCTGGGAGAGATGTTGCTCCGAAGCAAAGCCCAGCCCGTACACTGTGTTGGCTCGGCTGTCTGCCCACTGTCCAAACTTCTGGGACGTCTTTGTGAAGGTCATGTTGGGGGTAATAGTGCTGTTGATGATCGCCTGCAGAGAGAGGCAGCAGTGAGAGTCAGAGAAAACTCCAGCCTGCTGCCCTGGCATGGTGGTGTGGGATTGATCACTATAATCCCCGTGTACTCGAGGAATTACGGGTAGAAAGCTCTGGCCTTTAATCTATAAGACAACAGTTCAAGCTTTTGGTGACCAAAAGTCTTCCTACTCTGGCTATGTGAAAGGAACGAATCTCAATCATCTTGTCTACTGAAAAAGAAAAAAAAGCCTCAGTATCATCAGCTGCTTCTTTTCCAGCAATGGAGGATGAGAGACAGCGTGTCTCTGGGGACTTAACAACTTTCTGACGTTCTCCATTTTCATGGCAAGTAAGAGAAAAAAAAAAAGCAAAAAAAAGCTTAAACAGCAGCCAGGACTAGCTATTGCAAAACACTCTGTTGGTTAAGGTAGCAGCAAAATAAATTTCCTGGGAAGATTGCTGAATCTCTGCCATTGGAGGTCTTCAAGAACAAGTCAGAAAAATGCCTATCAAGAACATCTTAGGGGGAGTTAATCGTGTTTTGTGGAAGTGACTGAACAGACTACTTCAGACTCCCTCAACCTCTGTCTATCATTTCATTATATCTACAGGGGTTGCTTTTAGCACAGGATAAAGGCTCTCAGAAAAAAGCTGGTGTTTTGCATGCTCGGTGGGGACAGGGGGTGAGAAGAGAGCGGGGTGGGGAAGGACGTTATCAGACCCTAGGGCACATTTTTCATCAGCACTGATTCTAGTGCCTAACACTAAATACACTTGAGCTTGGAGGCAGCGTTTTACCTTCCATTCCCTGCAGTGAAGATGCCAGAGCGCCCACACTGAGAACTGACCAACTCGACACCAAAAACATCAACCCCAGAACAGACTTTGGCTGGAAAAGCCCTGCTGTCCATCTGTGTGATGCTGTCAGCAAATGGTCCCTACCTTGGTGCCCCCCACGCTGATGATCCGGTACACATTGCGTGTGGCATCGTAGAAATAGGAGACAGTCAAAGCGTGCTTGCTGGCAGGGATCCAGTTCCGTTTGGTGGCAGGGTCGATCTGGAAAACATGGGCCCTGGTGCTGAAGATTGGCTGCTCCCTGCAAGAGAAATGAAGAGGGCTGTCAGGGGAGAGAGGAAGCTGAGCAACGGGGGAAGAGCATTGACTTCCTGGCACTTGTGTTGCATTATGCACCGCCAGCAGCACTTCTGCTATTCGCCTCCTCTCCGGGGATTGGGGACACTAGGTGCTGAGCACTGCAGCCCCCAAGGACGCAGCATCTCTCAACCAGCAGCCCTTCACTGAGCCTCTGTGCAGGGAATAGCAGCTCCCCGCTGTCTGGGCTGGTGTCATCTACTGTCTCTTCTTATTAGGGGAGTCATGACCTGAGTTCTCCACCTGTGAGCTGCTTTTCCAAGACCTCTGGGCTTCTCTGTGCTCTCCACATCCTTGGCACTCTTCTAAAGCCCGTTTTAGAAGCTGGGGGACCAGCGGCTGATGCCCTTGCAAAGTAAAAGCCCACGGCTGTTTATGCCTCCTATTTGCCCACCACTCTGGCAGCACAATGACAGCAGCTTTCACTGCACGCTAGTGACCTTGGCCTATGAAAATACCCTTGGCACAATTAACAAAGCTATCGAGGGCGTTTAACTACAGGTAGAGGTTTCTACCTTCTTCTAGAGCTTCTCTGTCCTCCTCAACAGTCTTCAGACATATCCAAAGACCACAGCCTGGTCATTGCAGCAATAACAGACTATGCCCTCAGGTTAGTAGACCTTATATGCATGTTCACCCAAGGATGGGCAGGCAACTTACAAGCAGAAGCACAAACAGGACACCACAATCTCATGTTTGGGCCATACTAGCTGGCCCTGCACAACACAGCCAGTGTGGCAGAGTTGTGCTAAGGATTAGGGGTTATATTATTTTTAGCCTGACTTGAAGCTTTCTTTCACCACCCCTCAGCACCTTAGCGGTCAGTTCCTGGTGACTTCACCAGGTACACAATTTCTCTGGCTGCTGTATTACTTGTACTCCATAGGAGATCTCTGAGCTGGAGCTCTAGGGAAATGGATGGATGGAGGATGTGTTTGGGAGCACAAAAAGCACCTTCCCCTCAGCACAGCTCTTCCTCCCTTGACTCATGCTTGGGAAGCGCATCCTGCAGTGAGAGGTCACACCACAGGAGTAAAAGCAAGTCTCTTAACAATGAATTAAAGGAAACACTTCACCACACAATGTGCAGCTGCTGCAAGAAAGCACTGAACCAGGCACTGCCTGGATTTCGTAACCCGTAGTATCTGAACTGAAATAAGGAGCTGAATCTCAGGCACCAGGATGTGACTTGAGAGTTCCAAGAGGCAGGAAGGAATATTTCCACGTTTCCTTGACACAACAGGCCAGGTGCATCAGGGCTTGGGGTCTTCATTTGCCTTTGGTTAAAACCCAAAGCACCAGCCATTGCCACGCTCCTTACTCAAACCTGGTGAAATCTGATGTGACTGGAAACATTCCACACCCCCTCGACAGCCATGAACACAGCACAGTCACAGTCCTGCCATGTGCGAGCTCCCAGAATCCAGACATGTACATTTACTCCCCATCCCAAGTCCTCACAGCTGCTATGAGCAGACCTCCCCATCAATCCAAAGACAAATGCACCTGGTGCTTTCTGAACCCATCACCAAAACTTAGGAAGGAAATAAAATACTCCCTGCTACCTCCCAGTTTCAAGCCTTGTTCCCAGGTTACAGCCCTGACTCGGATCTCTTGTCTAAAGCAGCTCCTTCTCCGCATCCTCTCCACCTGGTTTTATTCAGTCACAGTCTGGTTTTGGAATGACATTCAAATTTTCCAGGCTCCACTAACAGATACTAAATTTTACATGGATTGTCACTTATCCTTCAAGGCATCTACAGAGTAGGGAAAACTAATGTTTCTGCACCTTACCCCCCAAGTCCTGAGCTAGCTGTCAGAAAGAACGGAGGAAGGACATTACCTAGTTGTTGACATTTGTTAGTAAGAAGGATAAGACAGACTATAGGCCAGCGGAGTTAGTACGCGTCTCTCCTCCAACAGCTTCCTTCTCAGGTCTCCTAGCTGGACTGAGGCTCCTTTTTGGTTTTGCCTCCACAGTGATTCATTTCCTAACGATGGAAAAGTCAGCCGTTATTTATCACACAGAGCACAGACACAGCGTTCAACCAGGCAGCGTTTAGGGGCTTCGTTCGTCCCAAACTCACCAAGCTTGTAATTTGTAATGATTTCTCATCACTGAACAAGTTTTCTTCCCTGTCATGGGAGATAATTGGGTGAGCCGTGTAACTGGAGTAAATCCCTTTGGCAGCAGGCGCTGGCTGTTGGGAGAGGGCCACAGAGGAGCCTGGAAGGCTCTAGTGTTTCCAGTCACACGCACGTGATGCTGGCTGCATGACGGAAAACCCTCCTCAGAGATCACCCCTCACACGCACAGCAGCTATTCCTGTGCTCTCTGTTCACCAGCGAGGTCCGTGCCCAGAGTCAATGGAAACCATCCTGCTGACTGCAGCAGGTTTCAGACCAAGTGATGTTTCAAAAAGCCCCCTGACAGACTGCTGTGACATTCCCGGAGATAACCCTTCCCTGTCCACAGGGATGGGGTTGTGGCAGCACCTGGGTGTGCACCCACCATGCACGGTCCCTGCCCTCCACTCCATGGAGCCAGGCACCATCCTGGACCCCCACAGCGAGGAACCCCTGCGGCTGCCCCGTGCCATCTCCCCATGACATGCGAGACAGCTGTGCTATTCATTTGCTTTGTAAATTTGTCTCTTCCAGTAAACGGTCCCCACCCTGCTCTCCCCCATATCAACCGAGACTGCATATCTCAAAAAGGGAGCAAAAGGGTAAGAAAGTGAACTTGCGTGATGAAGGATGCCTGTGGAAGGGGTAGAGAGCCCAGATCTCCCAGCTCCTCTACTAGGGCTGCCTCCAAGCAGGTCAGCTAAGAAACCTTAATAGTTGGAAAACCCCATT